GCCTGTGAGAGAATTATGAAAGTGACAAAGGTTTTTAATGCAAAGCTGTTAGGACACTATGAAAAAACAAAACTGTGTTTGCAGACATGACTGAACTATGACAGATTTTTCAGTAGTAACTTAAATATTTAAAAGGAAGCTATTTGTTGTAGTTAATGAGAAGATAAAAATGGCAAGATTAAATTAAAAATGAAAGTTAAATATAGGTTTTAAGAATATTTTATTTTTTGCATTCAAGTGAGATATGGTAATTTATTTACAACCCAGAGCACATGACAAGATAGCCATATCAAAATACTGCTGTATTCTTCAGACCTGACTCATTTCAACTGTCTTTGATAGACAGAAAGTGAATCTTTGTAACTTCAGCCTGGTCCATGTAGCCCCACTCTTCAGAAAGACTTATATAAGCAATCATATTTTGTTAACATTAATGCAGCCTTTTAACAAATCAGCTAAAACCTGTCTTTAAGACTTAGAATAGCATGAAAAAGAGCAGCAAATTAATTAGTGGGTTTTGTTAGGATCTTCAGAGGCATCAGGCTGCTGACAGGCAGGCTTTTTGGTTCAGGGTCGCTGGGTGTTCACAGACAACAGGGTGAAAGTGATTAACAGGACTCCAAGCATTTGCGCCTAACCAAGCATGAATAGCAAACTCTAGTGGCCTAAACAATAAAGGCCCAATCTGGTTCTTGGTGTTATAGGTGAACTTGCTCTAGTTCCAAGAATATGACAACTCTAATAGTCAGCAAGGTTCTTCTCTAATTGATTGATTTCTATTATTATTGTTTTACAATGTAGACAAAATTAGAGAAATTGTTGCAGGCAGAAAAGTGCCATGTATTTTAAGTAAATAAGAATGTGTGAACAACAGCTGTGGAAGACTAGTCCTATAGGACAAGTCTTAATTTCTTTCTGTAATTAAATTCAGATGAATTTGTAAGACAGTCAGTGCTACAGGACCAGCTGACAACATTTTGCAGAACATTAGAAACTAGTCATTGAACCAACTTTTGGACAGGCCTTGGCCTCCACAGGCATTTATGTAGTTAATAGAATTATTCCTAAAGACAGTGCAAATCTTAATTGTTCTTTCATTGCATTATATTAATCCATGAAATAGAAGATAATACCGTGATGTATGCAACTAGATTGTAACAAACTGGAAAACTCCTGTATTTTAAAATGCTGTACAAACGTTTTTATGTGCATTTTCATTGATAAAATGCTGCCTGAGCTCTAAATTCCTGTGTTCACTGAACTGTAAAAGTAAAGTGAGAATTGTTGCTGTGATCAATTTATGGCCTGTCATGTAAAGGAAATGCACTGCTGAATCTATTAGACTTTAATGAAGCCTCTTCAAAGCATCTTCACTTCTTCCCCACGTCCCCCACCCACAGAAGCTTGTTGAATTGGTTTTAACAACAGCCTTCTCCTCTGTGCTAGGGGTAGAAGTGCAGCGCAAGGGTCAGACAGAAATCCCATTAGCACATAACAGGATTTGTAAGCGGAACACACACACTTCTTTCTGCAAATCTACTCTTACATGCCTAGCAATTCTTCAGCCAACCTATGTATAATCTCTTAATATGCTAATGTTATTACAGGCTTCCCACTCCAGAAGATTAAGCAATATACTAGCAATATTAACCCAGTTCACAAGTCTCGTCGAGAAGTGCCCCAGCTTGTGGTAAATGGCACATTGTGTTTACTTAACAAATACCACGCAGCTAGAGAAGCAGAGCTGCATGGCTTTCGTGTCCCAAGGATGTCAGTATCTTTCAGTGACTTTTTTATTTCTACCTTAGGATTGCAATCATATTTTTAAACACTAGAAATTGCTTTCACATAAAGGTGTCATGCTGTAATTTTAGGATAGCACATAACTAACCATTGAGAAATGCTACAGTCCTTGTGAGGAGTGTTGCCTTTTAGGAACAGCAGGTATCAGACAGGGAACTGTAACATAAAGCAGCCTGACTTCCCCATTCTCATAAAAAGTGGAGCAATCTCTTTGCAAGGACAATGAAAGTTTATGTTGCAAAAATCACCATAAATATGACAGGTCCTACAAAGGGGGACTTCAAGAGGAATTGTGTCAGAAGAAAGTTCTCAAGCATGTTCTTTTATGTATACATTTTTTTAAAGGGATCTGCGAAATAATGAGATCTCCTGGGCCATAGAAGACTCAAATGAAGCATTTGTAGGACTTGATAGACTCAATAAATTGTAAGTGTTATAAATTGACATGTTTGCCAGAATAGAGGTGAACTTCATAGTATATGTAACTGTCTGAATTGAAAAAAAAAGCTGTTACTGACATGTCATAGCCCCATTTCAGCAGGAAGTGTTTGAACATGACAAATTTAAAGTATCTCACCCTTATCCCCACCCCAACAACTACTTTCTTAATATTTTACTGATGTTCTTGTGAATGTGGTGTAAACCCATGCCTTCTCTCATCCCATGAGGAAAGAAAGTCAGGCATGGATTAATGCTTTTAAATTTCATGATTTGCAGAGGCAAGAAGTGGCACAGTTGCTTTTCTAACAGCAAAGCACAACTTTGAAGTCTTGTAAACTATACAATTAAGTTTTCCTTTCCTTTCTCTGCCCTCCCCACCACAAATTGCTCTAAATGTTTCTGTCCCACTTAATACATTATGTGAAAGTCCCATAGTCCCTCCAACATGTAATGAGAAATGATCAGATAATTTCTTACCACAAGGAAGAACATCTTAGACATACCGTGTTGCAGAACAACTTCTACCTAGAATGTCCATAGACCTACCTCAAAGCCAACAAGGGGTTGTTGCCACGCAGTCCCTCATTTCTCAGGTTCCCTGTTTCTGTCCTACCAATGAATTTTCTTTTGACTTGTACTAAGGCTTTCTTTGGGCTATATTTTAGGATACTTCAAGGAAACCAGATTAAATCAGTCACTAAAAAAGCATTTGCTGGTCTTCAGGCTCTTGAATATCTGTAAGTATATCTTTTAGCATTTCCTGTTGGCTAAGCTTTCTCTTCAAACATACATTTTTCATAAGTAGAATATGTAGGAAGTTCATGAAGGCATGCTTCTTTAATTTTGCAGAGATTTGAAAAACAATGCTATAATGTCTATTCAAGAAGGAGCTTTCTCCCAGCCTCTTCTTAAAAATCTGTAAGTATCTAGTCTCCATATTTTGTATTCATATAAATGTTATGAAATGTTACAAAATGTTACAACCTGCTTGCACATTTCACTTGTAAAATGCTGGTGATCAATGAAATAAGTTTTGTTTTTGCATATTTTAACATTAAAGGTTTTATTTTAATTTTCCTGAATGTTGTATGCAGTAAACTCTTACATTTCCATTAGCCCGAGTAGAAATAAGTGACATGTTGAAATTTTTAAACTGATAAAAGGTAAGATCAAGATTGGAATTTGTGAGATAGGAAAACTAGATGTGTGAATTTACTGTTAGATATTCTTTATTTGGGGATCTTTCTATTGCAGTTTCTTTAGATACTATTTAAAACTGTTATAAAAGAAATGGAAGAAATCATATAAGATGTGCATGATGTTTGAAATGAAAATTATAATAGATTAAGCACAAAACATTTCCACTTCTGACATTGTCCAGATGTATTGGACTATAACACTTATCTGTCCCAGCCAACATGGCTAATTCACATGAATGAATCTAAAAATTCTGACATGAGATGAATGTTTAAAAACAAAAAGGCAAGAAAATGTGGGTCAGGAGAGAATAAAAGGGAACCTCTAGCAGTACAGGGTAATAAAACAACTAAGTGTTGGAAATCAGTGATCACTGTGCTTTTTGCACAACTAGAAAGAGGGTATGTTCTATGAAGAGTGTTTTATGATAGATTATTTTCCTTTGGAGATTAGTTCCATGGCAGTTTTCTTTCCCAGAAGCCACAGATAAGTGGTAGATAACCACAGAGTAAAAATCTCTTCCTTACAGTTCTCTAACTGCATTTTGTTTCACAAGCAAGATCCTGTGAACACCCTCAAATGAAGTAGATGAATATCATCATTGATTTAAACAGTTATTCAGTGAATTAATTATTACTGGCTGGGCTGCAAAATGTAGTCTTTCTGAAAACTTTTATTGCCAAAAGCCATAACCTACTTCATACGTTAGTTATTTTGGACCTTTTAATCAGGGCAACGGCCTAAGGGCGGTGACGCTGTTTGTGGGCCAAGTGGGGGCTGGGCTGGCCAGGGGCTTTGGCTTTGGTCTTGTTTGTGGGCTGGCGGGGGAGTCAAGGTGAGTACGCTTTTAGCTGTTTTAATTGTTGGTTTTAAGTTGTTTTTAATGGTGCATCTCGTGCTTACAGTATGATGTTGCCTGGGGAGCGCGTGGGCGCTGCCATTGGGGTGGAAATGGGCAATGGACGTTATGGCATTGGAGGTTTAATGGGTCCGCATAGAAGGAGGGACAGATGGTTAACACCTGTTCCTCTTTTTGGTTTTTCCCCAGCTGACGGGTTCCAGGTAGGCTTGTCAACCACCCTCCGGGCCTGTCGGTGCTGCTGCTTAATGCCAGGTCGGTCCAAAACAAAGCAACACTCATCCACGATTTGATCGTGGATGAGCAGGCCGACCTGGCTTGTATCACAGAGACCTGGGCGGGGGAGGGGGGAATGTCGCCCTCTCACAACTGTGCCCGCCCGGGTACCTGGTCCAGCACTGACCACGCCTGGAGGGGAGGGGAGGGGGGGTCGCTCTGGTTTATCGAGCTTCTATTTCCCTTTTGGGGCTTCCTGTCCTCTCGAGGCCGGGTCTAGAGTGCCTCCACTTGGTGTTGGGCGACCGAGACAGACTGGGGATTCTGTTAGTGTACCATGCACCCTTCTGCCCAATGGACTTCCTGCCTGAGCTGATGGAGATCATCTTGGACCTGGTGTTGAAGACTCCCAGGATGTTGGTCCTGGGGGACTTCAGTCTCCATGCCAAGACGGTTCTGACAGGGGCGACTCAGGACTTCATGGCCTCCATGGCGGCCATGGGGCTATCTCAACATGTCAGTGGCCCGACCCATGAGTGTGGACACACTCTGGACCTGGTTTTCTTGACAGGGCAGGAAGAGGGTGATCTGAGGGTGAGGAACTTAAGTCTGACGCCCTTGTCATGGTCAGATCACTTCCTCATAAGGTTTGAGCTCGAGAGCGGCCTTTCCCTCTGTAAGGGTGTGGACCCAATTGTGTTGGTGCACCCTCAGAGCCAGATGGATCCTGATGGATTCCTGAAAGCTCTGGGGGATTTTCCGGTAGACAAGGCTGGTGCTCCTGTCAATGCCTTGGTTGAACTATGGAATGGGTAGATGACCAGGGCTATTGACACGATCGCTCCCAAGCGTCCTCTCCCACCTGGCAGAGCCCGCTCATCTCCCTGGTACACACCTGAATTACGGGCAATAAAGCGGGTTGGGAGATGTCTAGAGCGTAGGTGGAGGAGATCACGGGATGAATCTGACCGAACACACTTAAGAGCCCACTATCGGGCCTATGCTGTGGTGGTGAGGGCGGTGAAGAAGAAATTTTTCTCCACTTCCATTTCCTCCTCACAATGCCATCCGGCGGAGCTCTTTCAGGTGGTGCAGGGGTTGGTACATCCAGGCCGAAAGAGAGATCTTGTGCCACCCTCCAAGGTCCGCTGTGACGACTTTGCCAAGCATTTCAGGGAGAAAATCGCTCAGATTCGTCACGAGCTTGATTCTACTATTGAATCAGATTCTACTGGGGAGGTGCCAATGACGCTGTCGAGTCCACAATTAATGCATGAATTTCAGTTGTTGCGGCCTGATGATGTGGACAAGGTGCTTGGACAAGTACATCCTACCACCTGCTTACTAGACCCTTGCCCATCTTGGCTACTCAAGAAAGCCAAGGACGGGATTGGGACCTGGATCCTGGAGGTGGTCAACGCCTCTTTAAGAGACAGCCAGGTACCTGCAAGGTGCTAGAGTGGGTGGTGGCGGGACAACTCCAGGCACTCTTGGATGAAACTGATTATCTGGACCCATTTCAGTCCGGCTTCAGACCCGGGTACGGTACTGAATCTGCCTTGGTCGCCCTGTACGATGACCTGTGCAGGGAGAGAGACGGGGAGTGCAACCCTGTTAGTTCTCCTGGATCTCTCAGCGGCTTTCGATACCATCGACCATGGTATCCTTCTGGATAGGCTAGCGGGATTGGGAGTTGGAGGCACTGTGTTGTGGTGGTTACGGTCCTATCTCAACGGCCGATTCCAGAAGGTGGTACTGGGGGACTATGGCTCTGCGCCATGGCAGTTATGCCATGGAGTTCCACAGAGGTCCATTTTGTCCCCCTTGCTATTTAACATCTACATGAAACCGCTGGGAGACGTCATTAGGAGGTGTGGGCTGCGGAATCATCAGTACACTGATGATATCCAGCTCTACCTCTTGTTTTCCACCAATCCAGGGGAGGCAGTGGCTGTACTGAACTGGTGTCTGGCCGAGGAAATGGGCTGGATGAGGGCCAATAAACTGAGGCTCAGTCTAGACAAGACGGAGGTCCTGTTGGCGGGTGGTTCGGGCTTCGGGATGGGGGACTTGGGCCTTGTTCTAAATGGGGTTGCACTCCCTCTGAGGGACAGGGTTGGCAGCTTGGGAGTGCTCCTCGACCCTGAGCTGTCACTGGAAGCTCAGGTGACGGCAGTGGCAAGGAACGTCTTCCTTCAGCTTCAGCTGATCCATCAGCTGCTTCTCTTCCTGGAGAACAACTGCCTGGCAACAGTGACACACGCGTTGGTAACTTCCCGATTAGACTTCTGTAATGCGCTCTTTGTGGGGCTACCCTTGAAGACGGTCCGGATACTTCAATTGGTGCAGAATAGAGCTGCCAGGTTGCTGACGGGAACTGGGCGTTGTTCTCATATAACCCCAGTTTTCCGTCAGCTTCACCAGCTCCCGATTGAAGTCCGGGCCCAATTCAAGTTGTTGGTTATGACCTATAAAGCCCTCAACGGCTTGGGACCTGGTTATCTAAAGGAATGCTTGCGTTCATATATGCCCTCCCGCCCCTTGACATCAGCAACAGATGCCCTTCTCCGGGAACCCTTTGTGAATGATATTAGGAGGGTGAGTACCCGGAGGAGGGCTTTCTCTGCGGTGGCGCCCCACCTATGGAATGCGCTCCCCAGAGAGGTCTGCCTGGCACCGTCGCTATTTGTTTTTCAGCACCAGGCCAAGACCTTTTTATTTAAAACTTATTTTAATTGTTAACTTATTGTGGTATTTATAGGATTTTAAATTTTTAAGCCGAGATGCAACCGGGCTTTTTAATCTTTAATGGTATAAATATGTTATTTATATGTTTAATTATGCTGTGAGCCGCCCCGAGGCTTTGTTGTGATGGGGGTGGCATAGAAATGTTTTAAATAAATAAATAAATCATTTCCTTTCTTCGCACCAGATATGTCATCCAGGGACAAAAGGATAATCCTCTAGTTGTATATGATCCATTGCTGTGGCTTTTTACCAATTACATTAAAGATCTGTGATCTGCCAAACCAACTGCTTGGACCAGGGATGAGCAGAATGTAGGTCTCCGTATGTTTTGGACTGCAGTTCCCAGCATTTCTGAATATTGGCCATGATGACAGGGACTTCTGAGAAATGAAATGAAGTTCAAAACATCTGGAGATCTGCTTTCTGCTCACCACAGGTCTAGTCTATAAAGAAATGTTTATCTTCCAACAGAGTTAACAGCCTCGTTATCTCATCTTGTACTTGAGGTTTAGTTGGGGAGTTTCCTCTTGTTCGTTCTTTGCAATACTGTTTTTCAGTACAATCATAAAAGAAATCCAAAAGTCATATAGGATAGTGATTTTTTAAGAAGATCATTTGTCTCGTGTAGCATAACCTGTGAAGATAGAGCAATATGAATTGTTTAGAGAATCACATTGGTAAAGCTACTCAAAGTACTGTATTGCTAGGATACATTACCAGGCAGAATTCTGAAATCTTGGTGAAGGATTATAAATACTTTAACTGGTATTTGTTGGCAGGAATCCCTGCTTGGTGGCTGCAAATAAGATGTTAGTTGTTTGCTTAACAATATTTTCCTGTGTCTTAAATTTTCAGGGGGATCAACACTAGCAGTTTACTGTGTGACTGTCAGTTGAAATGGCTGCGCCACTGGTTTATGCACAGCCACTTAAAGGATAGTGTCAGTGTCATTTGTGCTCATCCTGAATGGCTGGCTGGACAGAGCATCCTCAATGTCAATCTCGAAGACTTTGTTTGTGGTTTGTATTCTTAATGGCATTTATTTTTAAAATCTGGTAATTTCTGCTATTTAATCATCTGTGTGAGTAGGAAAAGAGGATATAGCTTCTCTGATTTTACATTGGCTTAATTGAGTTTTAATGGTTATGCTGCCCCATAATGCTTTCATAATCTTACTGCTGACATTTTAATTTGATATCTTAGCAATTATATGAAATAAAACTGTAGCTCTGAAATTTTTGATGCTAGTGAATCTCTTATGGGTAGATAGAATCAGAGAATTCCAGCATCAGGAGAATTTATTTCCAGGACACTTCGTCTCAGCAGCCTTCAAGCAGTTGCCTCCACCCCCACTTACAAGATAAGCTAAAATATAATATATAATAAGCATGTGTGGACATGTCAGTTGATTTTAAGCAAGAGAATGAATATTGCCCAGGGCAGGATGGGATGATTCTTGGAAGTTCATACTGTTCGGATAGTTAACCAAAAATTGGCATAACCCATATATAATAAGCATGTGTGGACATGTCAATTGATTTTAAGCAAGAGAATGACTATTGCCCAGGGCAGGATGGGATGATTCTTGGAAGTTCATACTGTTCGGATAGTTAACCAAAAACTGGCATAACCCAACTGGTATGGTTAATATCTGGCCAGGGTGACTTATTTTATTTTATATTGTTAATTTATTGTATGTATTATATTTTAATTTTATGTTGTGAGCCGCCCTGAGGCGCCATAAAATGGGGCGCCATAGAAATGTTTTAATAAATAATAAATAAATAAATAAAATATCTAAACAAGCTTAATTGTTTTCCAAGTTAGGCCTAAAGCTATTCTTAGTGAGAGACTGTGCCCCAACAGTTTTTGAGCAGATTTAACAGTGGTGAGATATAAGGACCCTGCTAAAATCCTTGCATCATCTTGGAGTATATCTGTTGCCATTACTTTTGCTACAGACATCCCATTTTACAGATACCCACACAGTCCGTTCTAGTGTGAAAGCCAAGATAACAATTTTGAGGCATTAGCAGTGATATGAGGTGTCACCTCTGTAGCACCAGCTGAACCCACATTACAGCTTGGATCAGAATTTTTTTACTTCTGTTACATCGGGGGAAAGGAAATTATCTCATCTGGATTTGTATTTTTATAGATAACTTTCCCAAGCCACAGATCAGAGCGCATCCTGAGACGACCATTGCACTGAGAGGTACCAATGTCACTTTGACTTGCAAGGCAGTGAGCAGCAGTGATTTGCCCATGTCCACCACATGGAGAAAGGACAGTGAAATATTGTATGATGCAGACATAGAGAATTTTGTAAGGTACCAGCAGCAAGATGGTGAAGTTCTGGAATACACTACTGTCCTGCATGTTTTCAATGTGAACTTCACTGATGAAGGAAAATACCAGTGTATCATCTCCAATCACTTTGGCTCCAATTACTCCAACAAGGCAAAGTTGACTGTCAATGGTATGCAACAATGTTGTCTTTTCTTTTTTAGTAAGAAATTAACTTTAAAAGCATTGGGATTTAGCTTGTAAAAACTTTTGCAGTGTTTGCTAGCTTCCAAGTATAAAGGTAAGCTGGTCTTCCCTTTTTTGGATCTGCTGTTCTGGAGAGGAGTTGTAGCAACTAACTGTGCAGAAACCTTTTGATTGCAAGACTCCTCAGAGATGCATTCTGGCCAGATGTAAATCATTGGCCAAATGGCATCATTTTTCCATAGAGCTTTTTCAGTTTGGAAGTGGAAAATGCCTGTAACAACTGCACTTCATTTGTTTATTATTTCATCAAGCTGCAACTATCTTTCACAGACATCTTCAGAACAAAACCATATCTGAGAAGCAACTTTCAGTCTGTAACACAAACAAGCTTATCTTGGTAAACTTAGAAGGGAGCATCTCACTTCAATTAGGTCCAAACTAAACTTTTATCACACAGTTTGTCCCTGCAGAGTGGATTTTTCTTAAATAGCCAGTGCAGAGCAATCCGTGTCACTCAAGGAGGATTTCTGATGGGGAATGCAATGGGAACAACTGTATATAGCCCTCCTACTTACATAATAATGTTTGGACTTCTTCCCACCTGCCTTTCAACACCAGCTATTTATCAACAACACAAGGGCTTGTTATTTGAAAAATTATTGGCCCTTAGTTCCTTGATATTTGCCTAAACCAAAGCACATCTGCCTAATGAGGGTTCTAGGGTTTTAGCTTACATTTTTGTGAATGAAGAGATTCACTCTATTCTAATCAACATTGAAGATGTTAGAGAGAGGAGGAGAGCTAGAGAGTTACAATATTCCAAAGAGATGAGAAACTGATTTATCTTTCTGTTCTGAAGAACTGTTAGACTTTTCTAAGCAACCAGTTTGTGGAAAGCATGACTGCAACATCCATCTTTTTATTGAGATTGGAATGGGTATTTAGGATCATTTGGTTAACAATGTGCTAGAATCTCAGTTGCTTCAAATTAAAAACAACAAAAGAGAAGAATTGTGGGCCTTCTTAATTGAGGGGGAGTTAATGGATTATTTGTCTGAATGTTGTTTTTTTCTTTCAGAATTGCCTTCTTTTGTGAAAACTCCTATGGATCTAACTATTCGAACTAGAGCCATGGCTAAACTGGAGTGTGCTGCAGAAGGCCACCCCCCACCTCAGATTTCCTGGCAGAAAGATGGAGGCACAGACTTTCCTGCAGCTCGTGAAAGGCGCATGCATGTGATGCCAGAGGATGATGTCTTTTTCATAGCAAATGTGAAAATAGAAGATATGGGAATCTATAGCTGTATGGCACAAAATGTGGCAGGAGGTATATCAGCTAATGCCACATTAACAGTACTAGGTAAGCAAAGAAATCATGACTGCATAGGTTTCTTGATTAAATCTTCTTACTTGGAGGCAACTTTGAGCCTGTTTTGATTCAGCATCCAACCCAATTAAAAAGAAACTGTGTTTAAGATGCAGTGACCCTTTCTGTGAACTTTCTTGAAATAGTTTGAGATCATGCTTATGGATATAACTGTGATATTAAAATAATGCTTTTCATACTTGCAGTTTGATTCACAGTTTAGCACTAGGCTAGTATTTTTCTCAAAAATGTTTGATACTTCTAAGACAAATACTTCTGGAACATCTGCAGTCTGTATGGTTGCCTGCTGCTGACCTACTTTATTTTGGATGAATTGAAAGATATCTGGTTTTATTTGCTATCTCTGCTGTGCTCTCTTATGCTGTTTATTTGCTTCTGAAAGGCAAAGCTACAGCTTGCGTTCTCCATGAAGCAGTAATGTAATGGGATTGGCCAGAAAAATGACATGAAAAAGAAATAATTTTTAAGTCTTAAAGAGAGTTTACGAATGGTTTTTTTTTTAAATCTAATTGGTCCTCTAAACTTGCATTGACTTAAAAAAACAAGAATTATTTTGTAAATAGCTGTTCTCATAGCCCTGACCTCTGTTCAAATTATTATATGCAAGATCTCCAAGCATTTGTGGTAAGTCTTTTTCCAGAATATAAAGTATCTTAAAAGAGTGACAAAAATATTCTTTTATTTGTCCATGACTTATGTGGCTGTCAGATCAGTCTTGACAATCACAAGCTGCATATATGTGGCAGTTGGCCATTATTACATGCAATTGCTATTGTAATTCTCTATTTAAGTAACTTTAACCAACTTCTTCCTGTTTCCAGAAACACCATCATTTGTCAGGCCCCTAGAAGATAGGACTGTGGCCCAAGGTGAAACAGCAGTGCTGCAGTGCATTGCCAGTGGCAGCCCTCCCCCTCGTCTAAACTGGACCAAAGATGATGGGCCTTTGACAGTAACAGAACGGCATTTCTTTGCTGCTGCCAATCAGCTCCTTATCATTGTAGATGCTGGATTAGAGGATGCTGGGAAGTACACTTGCATCATGTCCAATACACTTGGTACAGTGCGTGGCCATATCTACCTATATGTCATATCCTCACCAAACTGTGACTCTTCTCAGAGTGGCATTGGGATTGAAGAAGATGGCTGGACAACAGTTGGTATTGTGATAATTGTCGTGGTTTGCTGTGTTGTGGGCACCTCTCTGGTTTGGGTTATTGTCATCTATCATATGAGAAGGAAAAGTGAAGACTACAGCATCACAAACACAGGTAGGAAACCTGAAAATATAACTTCGTCTCTCAGTTAGCATGAGTGTGTTTGCATCAATAAAGAAAATAAAGTCATTAAGCCCAACAGTGAAAAGGAAATCTGCTTTGCACAGAAGGCCAGGTATGTGATCTTGTTGCCAGGATGTTCTTTCTTAGATGATTGCTTGACATTTGATGGAAAGGTAATGCCAGAGCCTCTGAGTGCATTAGAAAAATGGATAAGCCATCCCTTCTGATGTGCTGGACATTCTATTCAGTCTTCCCTACCCAGCATGGCTATGGTGAGGCATGCTGGGATTTGTAGTCCAGAGGCAATTAGCTTAGGGAAGGCTGGCATAGGCAATCCCAAAGGCTTTCAAGCTATAGTGGGCTGCAACACGTGCTGGCTGCCATTTTGAATATTTAGCCCCCAAGACAGATTGCCATGGTTTGTAGTGTCATCTTAACCCAAGCAGCAACGTTGCCTTCAGGTAGCCCTTCACCAGACCATAAATTATTTGTGCATTGATTAACCTTCAAAAAATACTTCCTCTCTTGGTTCAGGCAACACAACAGACTATTGCAATCCCTTGCTGGGGTTTATATATTCAAAATGGTTACTGTGGTGATTTAAGTAAACCATGATTGGTAGCAGTGATAATGTGAACCCTGTCAGAGGCTTCCTATTATGGTCTTGTAGCTTTTAATTGTGTTCATAGTATTTAGAGAAAGAACTGTTGCTAGAATTGGTAATTCTTCCCGAATTTTTCTGCCTGTGCCTTAAGAAAGATACTGTATTGCTGTAGGGAGTTTACTCATTCTTGCAGTTATAAAAGTCAGCAGTAAATCAGGTTAGAAGAGGAATTGCACTATTCTAGCCACATCAAGTAAGCTTTCTCTGTGAGCTTATTTTGCTTGGCTATCTACCTGAGTCACCATTTTGACAGGTATCTGATTGCTTGATAGTTTTGTTGCCATAGTGAAATTATAGGATCATGTTACTATTGTTATTCTCTTTCAGAAGAGGTAAATTTGCCTGCTGATATTCCCAGTTATTTATCCTCCCAAGGGACTTTGTCAGAACCACAGGAAGGCTACAGTAATTCTGAGGCAGGAAGCAATCAACAACTTATGCCTCCCTCCAATGGTTATGTGCACAAAAGTGCAGAAGGTAAGCTCTGGGTCTCTTACTGGAGATGGCAAAAATAACTCATGGTCTACAGCCTGTATCAGGTGGACTGACAAATACCTGCTGGTTGTCAGAATTAATGTAAAGAGTGTTCAACTTAGTGGTTCCTGCTTGGATGGAACAAGGCAGTTCTTAAGCAAAAGAGCATATTCAATATACAATTCATCTGTGTTTAAGTGATCCCATCTGCTGACATTTCTTGGGTTTGCACTCATACTTTGTCAATTCACAAGATATTGGTCGCTGTGAAGGGGGAAATGTCCATCTAAGTGTAGTCAGTTTAGTTTTCTCTAGATAAACATTTCACTAGGCAATGGAATGTGATGGTATTGCAAAAGAAACTTCTGCTTATGTTATACAGCACCTGATACGGATGAGAATACATGTCATTGTTAAAGAGCCTTGTTCGTACAGTTTCGTGTAGGGGAACACTTATGTACATTAGTCAGCCTGCTAATAGAGATATTCAAATGGGAAGAAATGTTGCACTGAATCCTCCTAACAAGAGTCCCAGGATTCCAGCCAGCCATTCATTCTTCATGGATGCAACATTCCTCCCCTTTTCCTTTAGCCCACAGTTTACTTTTCTGCCTGGAATTATATTTTCTGAGGCTTCTAAGCATGTTCAGTCCTTGTTGGACTGGGTGGAGTTTTTGGATAGAGTTGCCCCTTCAAGGTAATGTGTTTTGTACTTTTGAATACTTTATGGCAGGGGTGTCCAAACTTTTTTGCAAGGAGGGCCAGATTTGGTGAGGTGAAAATGTGTGGGGGCCGACCATTCAGCCTGACATTCTTTGAACCATTAACATTAAATGCAAATGAACTATTTTATGAAAGACTAAACAAATAACTGCACTAATGTGAAGGTTGATACTGAGATCTCGACTGCATTATATAGGCCAGGTCTGGCTCAAAAACAGTGGTTTTGATGCGCAAGATGTCACGCAGGTGAAAGTCACTTAGTCTTGTCTTCACGCGGTTCTTGTTAATGTTCATAACCGAGAATGTCTTCTCGCACAAGTATGTCAAACCAAACAAGCTCAGCATTTTCTTAGCAAATGTTCGAATCTCTTGGAACCTGTCTTTATCCAGCTGGCGGTAAAAGTTGACAAGAGGGAGCTGTTGGTGCCGACTGCGACACTCGGCGTCACACTGCAGCTCAATGAGCTCCAGCTGCAGGTGGTCTGGAGCGTCATCAGGGTCCACAGAAAAAGGAGATGAAAAAAGCGTGATCTCCTTTTCAATAGCTGCAAAATCCCGAAAGCACTGTTGAAACTCCTCAGCCAGAGATGAGATGTCTGCTTCATACCTCCTTGTTTGTGCACTCATATTGTTCTGTGGAAAACTGGTCATTATTTCCTGCAGTGATGGGAAATTAATTTATTTATTTATTTATTTATTTATTTATTTATTTTATTTTATTTTATTTTATTTTATTTTATTTTATTTTATTTTAATTTAATTTAATTTAATTTAATTTATTTTAATTTATTTTAATTTATTTTAATTTATTTATTTATTTATTTATTTATTTATTTATTTAGAAAATTTCTATGCCGCCCCATTCGCTGAAGCCTCGGGGCAGCTCACAAATATATCAATTAACATATAATACAATAAAATATAAAACAAGTTTACAATATAAAATGTGTGGTATTGGGCTGCATTTGTGACAGGTGCCTTTGGTAAAGTAGCAGCTTGGTCCCAAAGGCTTTGATATGTGAATACAGTTGGCTACCACTGCATTTTGACCCTGAAGGCTCGTGTTCAGCACGTTCAGATGTCATGTTATATCAACTAAAAATCCAAAATCAGCCAGCCAAACAGGATCAGATAGCTCTGGCATCAGTTGTCCCTTTTTTGCCAATAATTGTCCGATTTCCTCCCTGAGAGAGTAGAAGTGCTGCAGTGCAAACCCCCGACTGAGCCATCTTACCTCGTTGTGATACACAACATCTCCGTATTCAGCCTGGATGTCAAGTAGAAACTGTTGAAACTGGCAGTGGCACAGGGCTTTGGAGCGAATATAATTAATCGCCTTTATCACCAGTTTCATAACATGATCATATTTCAGATGTTTGGCACAGAGAACTTGTTGGTGAATAATACAGTGGAGTTTTATAGCTTTGCCTCCTTCTTCGCTGACTTTGTTACAGACTAGGGTTGATAATCCACTTCGCTCGCCAGCCATGGCAGGTGCGCCATCCGTAATAATCCCAGTGACTTTATTCCACGGTAGTTCCATGTCATCTACGGCGGAACAAACAGAAACAAATAAATCTGTTCCTCTTGTTTGGTCCTTAAGGCTCTGGAGATCAAGTAGCTCTTCACTCACGTTCATGTCATTGTCCACTCCTCTCAAAAAAATCAATAACTGAGCGGTGTCAGATGCATCCATGCTTTTGTCGCAGGCTAACGAAAAAAAGTCAAACTCCACTCCTTTTGCCTCTGTCTCTTAATATCAGATGAAACGTCTTCAGTTCTCCGTACCACAGTGTTACGAGCCAGGCAAACATTGGCGAACTCTTCCTTCTTCTCAGGACAAATTTTCTCCACCCTTTTCATCACGCAGTCTTTAATAAATTCACCCTCAGTAAAAGGTTTGCAGTGCTTGGCAATCAGCATTGCCACCTCGTAGCTCGCCTTTGTGGCATTTTCATTTGACTCACAGACTCTTGTGAAAAAGCGCTGCTGTGCCGTTAAAGCAGCTTCCAGTTCCTTCAATTTTTCGCCATGTTCGTTCCCAGTTAGCTTGTTGTAGTTAGCATGTTTCGTCTGGTAGTGCCTCTTGAATTCCTTGAAAACAGCCACAGTCTCTTGGCAAATTAGGCAGACACAGTTGTTTCGTATTTCAGTGAAAAAAAATACTCCAATTTCCACTTGTCCTGGAAGTGGCGGCCCTCGCTGTCAACTTTCCTTTTTTTAGTTACAGTCACCATTTTAGAAATGGGCACACAAGCCTTGTGTCACAAGGGTCACGTGGCGAGAGTGCTGACTCAGGTCTACTGCCATCTTCTGGTGAAATATAACCACCAGCCTTGAAGGAGCAGGGGACAGCTGCGGGAACCACTGTGCGGTGAGGGGAAAAATGCCGGCCAGCAGGGATGAGTGACAGGCTGAGCCAGCGGGGAGAAGAGGCTGTGGGCCGCTCAGAATTTGAAAACGGGCCGCAATTGGCCCCCGGGCCGGACTTTGGACATGCCTGCTTTATGGTTCTCCCAAGCATGATACTTCCTATTCTTGTATCTCCATTTGGCCCCTTATCCTGTTAGCAGCACCTGAGTTTGCTGTTAGAGGAAGTGATACTGTATAGGAGGCCAATGATTTTTAAAAAATGAGCCAGGTCTACTGTGCCTCAAGAAATCATTATAACTATGAGAGCCAGACATTTCCTAAACAGCTTGTTCCTTTAAAAATGGGCATCTTTCTGTACCCATATAGAAAGAGCATTGTTGCAATGAATACAGACACACTGATGGTTTCTTGCTCTTTTTCATTCAAGAGCTTCTCTTTTTTCTGCTCATCATACCTCTAGTTGTATAAACCGCTCTAACCTATCCTCCTTGTCCTTTAGGCTGTAGTTGTCAACACACTTACCTGCCAGTAAATTTCATCAAGTTCAATGGGAGATGCTTCTGAATAGACATGCATAGGATTAAAGTGTTACCTTTTTCCCTAAACTAAAATGTTCAAAAAGCAGTAACACTTTTCCACATATAGTAATTGCTCTGAACGTTGATCATTCTAGTTGTATTTTTCTCTACCTTTTCCTTTGCATTACCATCATTTTTGAAATGGTAGTATACTGTATTTCAAATGGTCGCACACTATAGAATTATAGAGAATATAATGATATTGCCAATCTTGTTTTTTTTTTCAAAGCTTATGGACTTCACCTTTTTTATTGTTGCTGCATACACAGTTGTTGTCTTTCTTGTGTTGTTCTATCCTCTGAGACCCTTGGATCTTTCTTGGTAGCAACAGTCAATTTAAATACCACTGTATTTGTGAACTTATATAGGACTTTTTGCCTTAATGAGCTTCTTTATCTGATATTTTGTTACCTGTTCACTGGTATGGAAAGATTATTCTGGGGCTTCTAATTTGCCTTGTTTTCATATAATAAATAGATTTCTATTCCATCTTTGGGTCCTCAAAGCAGCTATCAATACCATTCCATTAAAATAATTTCAAATCCAACCCCAAATAACAACCCTAGATCTCCAAAGAACTAGTGAAAGAGAAAGTTCTTCACTTGCTTCCCAAAGGGAAAATGGCACCAACATACAGGTTTTAAAGGGAAGATAAGCTGTATCCCAGTGCTGACAAATTTGTGCTCTTTCCAAATGGTAACCTTTAGTGCAGCAAAGGCACTCTGAACAAGGTTGCTTTGCTGAGCTTCACATGGGAGGTGCTTTTTAAAGCACTCTTCTCCAAGTAATTTAGGACTTTAAAGATCAATACAAGAAGCTTGAATGTAATCCAGAAACAAATTGGCAGCCATTTCTGCTTTTTAAGTGCTCTGTGATTATGCAAACCCAGTCATAGTGTCCCTCCACAAATATCTTTCTCCATAATTTTCAGTGGGCTTGTTGCCTGATACATTTCCACCATCATTGCACAGCGATGAATCATCCCAGATGAAATACTGTGAGCTTCTGTCAGCTTTCCCCAGCCATTTTAAACCCGTTATGTGACAGATTTTTGATGTTAAGTTGTGCTATTCTAAATATCTTCAGCAAACATCTTCAGTACAAAATTGGTGTGTATGTAGAAGTTGAAAAGTTTCCTAAAAACTTCCAGTGTTTTTTCATGCTTGCTCATTGGATTCATGTCCCCTCTCCGCTGATGCTCCAACATAATTTGGTTTCCTTAATTGCTGTGCCTTAATGCTATTATTTCAGTGAACTGAACATCATGTAGTAGATGCAATGATGACATAATATAGCTAAATTAAACTGAAAAATTAATTTACAGTGAGAATAGGAATATTACTTTTATTCTGAATGTATTTGGGGATCCTTGCTGTTCTGTCAGCACATCTACACAAGTATTAAGTGGAAAGCAGTGTAGCTCTCTTGTAGTTCAATAGTGCATCTTCTCCCAAACTATTTCCTGTAAATTATGCTGCTGTAAATTATGCTGCTGTAAATTTCACTTTTAGACCCTGTGCGAATTAATATATAGCTTGTCCTGTTTGCAGCATAGGGAGTCATGAACTTCAGCAACTGATCCAGCAATGTAATGTGGCCCCCAAGACCTTACGACCACAGATAGTAGTCAGTGCTAGTCCTATGTAGAGGAGATGATTGAAATTATTACGTGATTTCTATGCATCTGTTCTGCATAGGACTAACATTATTTACATTTATTTATATAATTAACATTATATTTCCTGTTGTTTTAGGTGCCAGTATATGAATGCTGATTCTTCCCCTTCTCTCTAAACTATAGCATGCGATACCTGCAAGTTGGCAAATCATTATGTCCGCAATGTCAATGCAGCCTTCACAACCCTTTCTCTTCATTTTCCAAATTATTTAATTTTCCACTGCCAGCATCCTACCACCATCACCTCCCCACCCAAAGGGATTGTCTTTGGTATGAGACAGTATTAGTTCACTACCCTCAAATAAGATCCTTCTGAGTAAGGAATTGTTTTCCTGATCTTCTGTATGATGCCCTCCTGTTCTGAACCTGTCATTTTATGATCAGAATTGATATGGGATCTCAACTAGTAGATCTGGAAGTCTCATCTGCATATTTATCTGCTCCTGTCTGCTTTTAATTTAGCTCAAGGGCTTTGTAGCTTGATAACTATTTTAGGTAACTTCTGAAAAATCCTTTTTTAATGCTAAGCAATGAGGCTAGTTTTGCTTTTAAAATTTACTGTTTTGGTGAGAGAGATTTGTTTGTTTTTTGCTTTTACGCTTTCTAGGCCTGCTCCCTCTGTTCATGATTTTATATAGATGCTAACTCACCTAGAAGAATATATTTTACTGTTTGATGCTTTGCCATTGGAGTTGTGGAAGTTTATTGCCAATACCCCCTCATGTTTGAATAATTTCAAACATACATGTACAGTTTCAGCCAACTGACCCATAGAAGACTTTCATCTCCGCATGTCACCATTTCATCACCAGGAGTATTATTTGTGTGTAGCCTGTGAGGCCAACAGTGATGGGTATCATATTACAGCACACTAACTTCCCAGTATTTCTTCCACTAGGTGGCACAGCACCATTGGTGATCTGCTCAGATTGCTACGACAATGCCAACATCTATTCCAGAACCAGAGAGTTTTGTCCTTATGCATACATCACAGAAGATGACCCACTTGATCAAACATTGTCTAGCCTAATGGTGCAGATGTCAAAAGAGCCCTATCCCGTGTGCCCCCAGCATGAAGCCACTAATTTGGATAGTCTGTCGGGTGACAGAGACATGTCTGTCTTCCTTAATAGTCAGGATCGGCTACATGAGAGGAAACCCTGCTCTCAGCCATGCAGTAGTGGTAAGAGCTATATTATTTTCTTGATGTTAACATGATTTCATTTTCATCAAATAAAGGATTATGCTTCATCATAGACCCAAAGTTCAAGGCCCACTAACAGCAAGGCCTGCTATCCCCCTCAGTAAAAAAAATAGTCAATTAATTGTATCCCAAGTCTTTTTGAAACTGGGTTTCAGTATCAGGGGTGCAATCACTTCACCTTTCCTTTGATGCATGTAAGCATCTAGGATGCATTTATATGCATCCTAAGTTCCACATGAAGCCTGCACACCCTGATTCGTCTCTAAAGAGCCATTCTCAGCTGTCTAGATAACACATGTGAAGGAGGATGGAAAGTTGATAGGAATCGCAGCCTGCTCATCTTCTCACCCACCTGACATAACTGCGTTTTCCCTCCCCCACAGCACATTTGTAACCTCAGGTAAAGCAGTCAATGCCATTCTTTCCACCAGCTGTGATGGGGCAGTGCAGGAACTCAGCCTTCAGAGATCATACAATGTTGGAACTGGCATTCCAAAAAATGTTGTACATGCAATAGCCAAAGCCCTATTGGTGATAGGGAATGAAGTCATAGAAATGAGTTGTTGAAAAGTTATGTTTGATATTCTTAGAACACTAGTGCTCTGTAACTTCAGAGTCAAGAGAATTCTGTAAACATACTCTAAAAATTGCAACTAATGTATATTTTCCTAATAAGGGTGTTTCATAGTACTGCAAACCGTTTAAAAATCCAAGGTTTTTTGAAGATATAACAGGGTGTTTCAGTGTTAGTTCTGTAGAAGAGCCTGTTGCAATGCCTTAGGCATAACAGTAATGCTCTTAGGCATATTTTTCTGATGATAGTCATAATCTTCCATATTATGAAATACCTTCAGAAAAAGGGCTTAGCGTAGGATTGGTTGCCAGAATCACAGAGGATGTGGTAAATCTTAAGTGTTACAAGCTTTTGTTACCAGTAAAAATTTCTTTCATTTTCCTTCAACAGATCCTTTTCAGCTCTCTTTATGGGGCATCAATAAAGATCTGGGGTTGTTGCATCCTCATTTCTCACCTCAGCCAAAGACCCATGAAGTACCTCGAGTTCTGCGAAGTGAAGGCATTACAGAGAGTGAACATGAGCTGGTTATTTCCCCCAGACCTCGCCACAGGTTACATGAACACAACTTTGATTTTAACAGGACTCGGAACATACAGGAACACCATGAAGCTACATAAAAATCACGAAAATAGGAAACATTAGCCGCAAGCTTGGAGCAGCTGACAGTATCTTTGCTACCTCAGGTTTTGCCCCATGGCCAAAGATCTTCCATGTCTGCAACAGAGAGGCTTAGTGGATGGGACCAGTATTTACCTCCTGCTGGCAAAGAGTGGGCAAGTAATAACAGAGATCCTTCTTTCTGTTAAGTTTCACTAAGTGTTACATACTAATGCTCAGCATTTCTGACAAACTGACTGGTGGACAGAATACATGAAGTGATAAAGAAAGGTGGATCTGTTGCCTTCGACCACAGTCCCATGGAAGTCTCTCACACACTCTTTCCTGCTGAAGAAATAAACCTTAAAAAGTCCCTTTGCAAGATCCCTTAATAATTGTAAGCATGAAGCTCTTGCTTGACTTATTTGGCCTTTCTGATGGCTACCAGGAATTTACAGCAGTGCATTCAGTCACAATCTTTATTTATCCTTTCTCTGGCTAAAAGTCTTCAGTTGTAAATATATTTGCATAATATAAATATTTGTATATACGTCTAAACATATAAACATCAGGCTGAAATGTAAATTTTTAATTATGCCAACAATTACATACTATCATACCATTCTGACATCTGCTGACCAGACTAGAAATAATTGTTTTCTAGGATTAAATGCTTACAGGCTGGTTCATACTGTCCTTTTTTTGCACATGGTGATTGTGGTTATTACATGATCTCCTATTTAGTGGAAGTTTTCACTATGAGGTGGCTCTTCCCACATTTTAGTCTTAAGTATGGGATCAGCTGTTAAAGGACAGAAAGATCCCATGTGTTAAAAGGTCTTGTATGAGTTGACCCAGAGGGTCTGGTGCTTGTGGTCCACTGGATACACATGGCTCAAATGTTCCTGTATACTGTGTATGTTATTCTTGACATTCAGAGGATGTGAGCTGTTAACTTTGAGACATCATTTTCTATATTTCTTGAATGTTGAAAAACAATGTGATGGTATTGAGATACAAGCCTAGCAAGATTGAGCTGATGACTTCTATTTGTGAATGAGCCATCACAGGTTAAATATCAAAGAAACAACACTTTAAGCTATCTCCACACAACACAGAGACTGTGACAAATATAGTGATAAGCACACATGGTATGAATTGATCTTATGATATAATGACTTGAACATCTTAAGCTAGCTGCCCAAGACCTTTTGGTCATTACACTTGGTACAACAGGAGTGCAAAGGGATTTTGTGTACTTCTTAACATGCTGTTATATCCCAGAATGAAATGTTGCAAATGGTAGATGATTATGACTAGAATGATCTTGTAGAGAAACTGCAGATTAAGAAGATTATCTCAGGGTAAAGAAGAAAAGTTACAGTGTTATTACTAATCTTCCCTGCTGTGACATTTCATGGTTCTGCATTGCAGCCTGAAGACATCTCATAAACTATAAATATTGCATCATAGGTATTATATTAGCCATGGCCAGACTCCCGTTGTTATTCAAACAGCTGTAAATACCAGTGCAATCCTATACAGTATACCTGTCTGCTTAGAAGAAAGCTGGTACAGAATTGTAGCCTAAATGTCCGAATTAGTCACAATCTGAGTTCCATGCAGCAAAAAAGCTCATTAGTCTTTCCATACATTTCAGTAAAAGATATTGCCTGATCTGTTTGAGTATCGCTTTATAATGATGTGTTGGTGAACAAGAAAGGCTGACAGGATTATTATGATCCCATTTAATTTAATTAATGCGTACAGCTCATCATGAATCAGGCTTGGCTAGTATAATTCCAGACTTCCTTTTGGTAGTTTGGTAAGATATTTTCTTAAGGGTGTGTGTATTGTTACATAAAGCAGAAGATTCTGGCTGCAAACAATGGTACTCTCCCCCCCCCCCCCCAAGAATCCCCAGCTGACTTGTCCCAGTTATAGTGAGTGCCCAGCCAGGTACCTGAACTATATGAGAAAAAGCTTCTACATCACTTTGCCTTCTTTTCCCAGTAGTGGGAAGTACAAACTCTAATACTTTTTATTCCTGCTTAATATTGGTGCCCAAATTCTTACAGGGCACTAAAGCCAAAAACTTCAAGAGTGCCTGAAACGTCCAAAGCCATAGGATTCGAGGCCCAAAAGAAGCTGCTCCTTTTGAGCCTGGGGAGTGTTAGTTCTGTGTCATGTCAGTCACGTGTTTGCTTCAAAATACTGAGTGTGTATGATCAACATTAATATTCCATGATGTCACTCTGTAGTTAAAATCATTCAGTAAGGGAAGGCGGATCTGCAGTGGTATGTTGCTGATTCAGCAGTGTGCACTTGCATTCCCCAATGTTTAAAGCATTCCCCTCCTACTTGATGTAAAACTCCTCCATTAGCTTGAGCCCCATCTTCCAGTTAGGAGAGCTTCATTTTACATAATACAGATTTTAGGGCAGATGCTGGCAAAGGGCAGACATTTGCTTAGAGGATTAGAAGCACCCTATGCAGGACAAGAGAAGTAAAGAGGCAAAGGTTGGTTCTGCACTTCTGCCCTCCACAGCAGTTAGATGGTAGATTTCGGCCATCATGCAATGTTTTGGAACAGAAGGGATCTGAGATGCCACCAGAATATTTTGTATTTTGGCAATATAGGTCTCTTGCCCTCTGTATATACTATTTCCCAAGGGTTTTTTCCCACACTGAATGTGAGGTGGAGGATCTGAGTGCAGATCCCCAGCTATAGGGACAGACTGATTTTCCAATCTCATAGCTGGAAATGTTAACACACATGACAATCTTGATGCTGTCTAGAGGATTGCTCTCCCACTTGATTTCTCCTATTTTAAATTCTAAAAGCAAAAGCTCTTTAAGAGATTGTGTTTAGGATTGGGGTACTTGCTCTCCATTTTGAAACCTGTTTCACTTACTTACCTGTTTGCAAGGGGATCTGTGTTTAAATTGCAGGGAGGAAGTTATTCCACCAGTACATTTTGCCAATGCCAAAGTAATTGTAGCTGAACATTTCTAGGGCAGTGCAAACCAATAGCTCCTTGCTTAAGGCTGTCCTTTCTTCATATCTATTTCTATTTTCTCACTTACTAGAATGTATATTTTGTATAGCATGTGAAATATGTTTGTCTGTTGTAATATACCATCATCCAATAAAGGGATCCACAGTGAACTACTTTGGTTTGTTCTGGTATACATAGATGAGGAAAAAGCCTTTTAGAAAACCGTATCACCCACAAAATACTATCACGGGACATGGGGGGAGGGAGTGTCCAGTATAAACATGTGGCCCCTAATGAAGAACTTCTGCTACTACCATTTTGAATGCTCAAAGCTTGCGAGTGGCTGCCTTGAGCTTGATGAATGATTGCAAAGAGGTTACACCAAAAGAGTTTAACCTGTTTGGTAGTAATTCAACAATAAACAAAAAGAGACATTGGCTGAATTTACACATAACTACAAGCTATGCTGGAAACCATGCAGGTATGGCTTGTCCTAATGTGTGAATTTAGCATCCATGGGGAAATGTTGCACATTCAGTTTCCATTAAATCGCATGGTGAAACAACAGTTAGCTGCAAGGTTTCCATGCTTCACCATGGCTTGTCATTATGTGTGACCTCAGTTACAATGTGTCCATGTGGTTTTCACATTTCTGCCATCAAGTTTGCCAGCAAGGCATTCCAGCCTCCTTTTTCTTTTGTCCTTTTCTGCCTAGCAACTGCCTAACACTCTGATCCACACAGTTTTTTCATCTGTCCACATGCCTGGCTGCAGCTCTGGAATAGCAGCAGCAGCACATCATTGTGCTGTGCCATCTCCAGCAGTAGTGGCTGCAGAAGCTGCCATGTTTGGCACTCATGGTTGCTCTTACTCGTGGAAGCTGCCATGTTTGGCACTTGTGGTTGCTGTTAGTTTGCTGGAGCAATGTTTTGAAATAGCTGTATGTTTGTTCTATTCAGGAAGCCAGCACTCTCGGTTTCTGACTGCAGCTTTACACAAGTGGAGCCATGTGGACTGCATATGGGCTAGGTTTCCTGCTCAGTCTCCTGCCTTCCCCACCACATCTTGTCCTGGCACAGCAGCAGTGGGAAGCATTCCTGCTGTGCTCCTCTAGAGCAACAGTGCTACTCAAGTGAGTAGACAGTTGATTTCCAGAGGAGCAGAAAGATAAAGCAGCCAACTGAGGCTATGCCCAGGGGAGCATGTCAGCCAATGAGGGAGAGGAAGTCGACACAGGCAGGAGCAGTGCATCCTGCAATTAATTCTGGGCCATGTGAGCTGGTGGGATATGTGCCACAATTGGGAGGGAAGATGGAGTAGCATGGATACCATGCATGCATAGAAACCATGTGAATGTGCAAACCCAGGTCACAAGGTGAGGTATCATGCCACTTGGCAACTGTTCAGTATTGCTTAGCATTATGTGTAAATACAGCCATTAGATAGGAACCATTGGCAGGGTGGCCTTGCTATTCTATTAGACAGTTATGAGTGGCTCACTCATCTGTTAAAGCACTGGCATGTATCAAGAAAAATGGTTTATGCATTAGATGGATATAATTTAATTCTCTGAGTACTATGTTGTGGCTACTGCTGTACATAAGTCAGTGCTTCATCATTACATGTAGGGGTTATAATCAACATAACGAGAGAGCTTGGCATGATGAAACTAAACTATGCACCTAACCTGTTCAGAATGTGATTGAGGGAGAGAGTTATGCTATTTCAAAGCATTTGATAGTTTGCAGCATTCACATATCTGGATTCTAACCCTTACCCTCCCTTTATATCAAAAAAGCAACCAGTGCTGTGGATGTTATTGACAAGATCATGCTGTATCCAGAATCTATTCAAGGTAAAATACATGTGGAGAAAAAAAGCAGAGCAACATGTAACTAATACCAGCCTTCTGTATAGGCTGATTTCATTTTACAAACAGCCTTCTCTCTATGCTCAGTTTATCATAGCTCACAAACTAAATCTCTGTAAGTCCAGAAATTTGTTGGAGAATATTAACGTATCAGAATGTTGATGCAATGAGAGCAGGGTTGAAAGGTAAATCAACTATTTTTTCACCATATTGTATAGAATACTGCCATAACCACCCCTAATAAAAAGTTACGATTAATGAATGCAGAAATCACAAAATTATCCTTGTTATGCTAACAGTGAAATGATCCATTGCTGATTTTTGTCTGTGTGAAAGTATTCTCAGATCAGCATATTACATGATGCTACTTCAAGAAGTGCAAACATGATTTCTGAATAACCCTGGGAAAGATGTCCAGTGTATGAAGAAGCAGTTGCAAAGGTTTTGTGTTGAATAAGGATGGGTATAGAACCTCAGTAATTGCACTCTTTCAAGAACCAGGATACATCTGACATTTTTAGTATCACAATTGTACTAGAAGGTGCTATATTCATAAAGAAAAATCAATGCAATCAAAACTTTAAAAAAGATTCAATTGCTTCATGCGTCAAAATGAGCAATCCCGTATCTAAAACTTTACACTAACTGCATGTGTTGTGGCAGGCATTCAGGATTTTGTAATGAAATACTTATCCATTATACTTTTGTTCCAGCTGGAACAGCAAATTCTTTTCTATGAAATTCAAACTATTTTCAGTGGCTGTTTCAAAATGTGCACATGTTCACAGGAATGTATTTTGAGCCTCTTCAGCTTGCCCACACCAAGAACACTAACCTGTTCAGACACTGAAGTCCTTAGGTTGATAAATATAGGTCACCACCCATGGCCTTCATAATTCAATTACTTTTCATCCAGTGGGAACATTTGTAACCAACACATAGGATGTCTCCATCAAGCATGCTACTTGCCACATTAGCAAAACACCAGTGAGCACTTCTGCTCCCCCCCCGAAACACACAGTGCAAGTGCACACAGTGTGAGTACACAAACTTTTTTCATCTTGAGGAGTACATATAAGGTAGCCTCTGACAGTGTTGGGACTCGAGTGACCCACTCTTATGTCCGACAAATTTGCAGAAGCAACTTGACTTGGACTTGATTCAGGAGCACCAAGTGAGTGACTCAACCAGAGATCTCTGTTGTTTTTATGACCAAGTCACTTTCTGGCACAAGGGAAGAAGTGCAAGAGAGGGACAAGCGGAGCAGAGGGAGGGGGATTGCAATACAGGTAGTCCCCAGGTTACGTACTTAGGAACATGCAGACTCATAAACCCTACATGAATATCTGTCTAAAATATCCCTAGGGAACAATGCAATGTGTTTGGTGATGCATCATCAGTGGCTTTGGCCACGTCATTTTCCAGGCTTTTTCTAGAGAGAGAGATTCTGTAGATATTCATGGCTTTTTGTTCTGCACTGTTGGCTCAAGTGTATCCATGCTAGTGTGTTTTGGGGCACATGCAGGGCTTCAAGGATGAAGCAGAAGCACGGCAAAGCAGTTTCTGGGAAGGGCAGAAGCAGAGGTGCCCAGATGACTTCTCCCTATGCCTCCGTTCTTTTAAAGCTTGAAATTCTGTTTTTATCCATAACTTCCTAATCTATGAGGTCACATCAAGCCTAATATTAACATGGCCCTGGGGCTGGAGAGGCAGGTTTTGATTGTGCTGCTGGAGAGGGAGAGGTTACCACTGGAGTTGCTTTCTGGGAGTAGGTCTCAAGGGTTGTTTGTGCACCCATTTTCTTTTCTCATCATAAATGGCCTTGTAGCAGCTAATGGCCTGGCTTGGTCTCTCTTCAGTACCTGTAGTTACTTTATTATTACTGTATTCTTATCATTTTTACAATACTGCATTGTGTTTAAAATGCTTTAGTGAATATGGAAGTGCTTCTTAAGTGTTTTATATACATAGAAAGGTAAAATATGTACATAAACTAAGACAAACATTTGGCTTACTCGTGATCCGACTTGTATACAAATTTGACTTAAGGACATTCTCAGGAAAGAACTTGTCGGTAAGCCAGGCACTACCTGAATATGGGGAAGGCTGCAGCTCTTTTTGGTGTACTTTGTTCTCCTTGGCAGGAAGCACAACAGCACTTCTCCTGCCTACTGCCTCTGCTCGATTCCCATGTGTTTCCAGGGAGAATATCAGCCCCAGGCCAGCCCCAGTCTTGTCAAGAAAATGGTTTTTCTAAATTGCAATCTTGATAAATTTGAATAACAGTACAACTTAAATCGTGGTTGAAGGAAAGGACTTCAATGCATCACTGACAGAAGTGCAGATGGGAACATCGGGGCAGTTGCAACTTCCCCCCGCCCACCCCACCACCTCCCTTTTTTCTGTTAAGGTTGGCTCTTGAGATGAGAAGAGACTTGAGATGTGACTCGAAAATTTCTTGCAATGCCTTGAGGATCGACTTGGACTCAGAAGTAAAGACTTGAGACTTGCCTTGGAGTAAAGGACCTGAACACATCACTGGCGTCTGATGTTGTTTGTGCATGCATGCACATCACAGCAATCGTGATGCAGACCATTGTTTCCTCACTGGCAAGTGGGAAGAGGGACATCCCTGCAATCCTCTTGCTTCATCCTATGCTCCTATTACCTTTACCACTGCCATTGCCTTGGCTCTGTGGCAAGCTGCGTTCATGAAGGCACTGCCTCCAGGCTTTTGTAAGACCTCCATAGCTGCACAGGACAAGGGAATGAGGAAGGCGGCTGGTAGTCAAGCAGCATCTAGGGAGCTGATCCAGCAAACTCCTTGGTGGGAATGTGGCTGCTAGAATTCTCCAGAGCACCAGCTGGACACTATTTGTTCCTCCGCTGCCTTCAGCAGGCACTCCATCTTGGTTCATGTATGATTGAGCAATCTATATTGTGATCTCTGAAGAAGTGGTACAATTAAGGGGAAGGATTTGCCAGAAAAAGGGGGAAGAGCAGGTAGGCACTTGTGGGGCTGCATATGGGCCATAGGTTGTGCATCCCTGCCCACTGTGGAAGTGGGAAAATATGTATCTCCTCTCTTGTCCATGAACAAGGGAGAGGCTGAGGCATGAGTACTGGCAAAGTTTTTGGTGGCACTGTCCACCCTCTCCTCATACCACCTCACAAACAACTACTTCAGGTTCAGGGATTACCTGCAGCTGCTGCTGCTTCTTGCTTGTTATCCCTGGTTCTATACAGACTGCTTTTGGACAAATACAGCATTTCTCCTGTGCCCCCTTTCTGTCTTGGCTATGAA